TCCTGAGCAATGCTGTCATCAACACAAGGAGTAGCAGGTTGTCTAGCGACCAGGAAGAAGCTGAAGATTTCGGAAGAGTGGTAGCATTTTTATTGTTTTCCAAACACCAGGATAGGGCTTTGTTCTGTGCTCTCCCAACCCTCCCATAGCTGGACCTGAGGATGGAGCCTCATGAGGATATGGTTTGTGGCCAAGGGACAGAGTGAAGCTAACTGTCCCATGTGTGGGCTCACACCAACAACTATGACCTCAGCTAACCAATCAAGCTAACTAGCAACAGATGCAAAGCAAATTTTGACCAGCTTCACGGATTGAGAATTTAGAACGTCCCATGTAGTAGTTAGAGTAGGACTACATGGAACCTACCTCATTTTATGGTTTGCCCCTACTGATTTAGGTTATCCCAAGTTCTAATTTCAAAGCAGGAAGTTGGGCAACCACTGGATAAAGAAAGATCCACAGCCAATATAACTCATATAAGTAATATATATGTTCGAATAACTCAGGTTTGGCTCTCAGCTATGAAATAAGAAATGATCCTCTCCTGACTAAATACTAAGTTACATTTGTTGAATCAAGTATATTTTCTAGGGAATAGTGGTCAGATTGACCATAGTCACATAATTTCAAGCTCTCAAGGCTTAGATTCAAATAACTTCTCTTGGCTCTTCCTGCCTCCAGAACCTTCCCTTCTAACCCATTCCGCTCCCTGGTGAAGCTTCCTCAGATCATTTTCATTGTTTCTTCTTCCACCTCCAAAAATTCATTTGGCTCTAAAACTATTGAAGACGTCTTTAGTGCATGTGCCCCGTCTGTAGTCCCGTATTCCTTCTCCGACAGCTGCTTCATCCTAGAGGTGGGCCCCAGAAGCCATGTTTATTCAACATGACATCAATTCTGTTATTGTACTTGGAATAGACACTCAGATTCTCTTTCATGGAAATTTGATGATAGTAGACTCTTCTGGTCATTCAAACTGAGACGTACATATCTGAGTTGTGGGGTGTATTGTTTTATACCATATTCATGGGGAACAGAAAACTCTTATGCAGAGAAGGATGAGGCAGGTATGCAGAGAGAAGCTGAGGTGAGAAAGTCTATGACTGGGGTGGAGTCGAGGGATTGAGACTAGGAAACCTGCAGCACTAGCTCCTGATTTTCATTCCTGGTTCCTGGCTTGGGGAGACCCATCTGCCCATTGTGCCCTTGAGTTCCTGCAGATCCCATTGTTTTTAAGTTATCTCACTCCCTTTGGCTTCTACTACTTTGAGTGGCTTTCTGTCATTTGTATTCAGAACCACCTGGGCCAAGGCAAAGGTGAAGCTCAAATCCTTGGCTTGGTATTCAACACCACCCGCAATTTAGCCATCATCTATTGTTTTCATCTTTATATCCCTCTGCTATCCAATATGAACTTCATTCATACCAATCTACTTCCTTTCCTCCTCTTATACCTTGTACATTTCTGGCTCATTCCTTATTTCACATCATTTCCTCTACCTAAAATACTCTCCTTCCTCTTCTTGGCCTACTTGAACCCTACATATTTTTAAAGTTCAATTGAAGTTTGCCCTTGTACGTAAAGTCTTCTGCAAGCTCCTCAGCCCACAACAATTTCTCCTTTAAAAAAACTTCTATAGTGCTTGTTATTTCTGTTAACAACTTTTTAATATAACAATAGCTTATAGTAATCAAGAAACATAGGTTGGTTCCAGAAAAACACCTTGATGACAGAAACTCTACTACCAGAGTTTGGAAATAATATGAGAGACCAAGGAAAGCATCTCAGGATGTCAGAATAGGAGGGTGGTGACAAAAATATATTTAAGTATTACCATTAATTAACTAATAGCCAATCTATTGGAAAACACTAAATGTGCATGTTCATATGGCTTTTACTTAACTTAGTCAACAACATCTACATTAAGTATGATAAAATAATTAGATGAGAAGAGATAGAAATGGAAAAACAAGAGGTGTTGCAGAAGATGGAGATCATAGGGATAGGCACTGATAAAACAGAGAGAATGAAAAAGAGATGAGGAGATGGTGCTGGGTCCTCCTTTCTTCTCCTCGTCTTCCAGGTAAAATAAACTTTAACCCTGACTCTCTCAGGAAGGAAAAGGGACAGGAGGAAAAGTTATGAGGAAGAAGTAAATAAACAACAGTAGGATGACCTAGAAGCCAAGAACAACAGCTTCCGCAGGCAAGGTACAGGTTAAAATCCCCAGCCTCCAACTCAGTGTGGAATATTCAGTCTTTGTGACAAGAATTAAACTGTAGTGACAAATTAGTATTTTTAATAATGAACATGTGAATCCTTATAGCCCTGTCTACTCAACAACATTCACTCAACAACTATTTATTGCACTATCTATTATCAGATGGTTTATTAACGTATGACGTAGTCACACCCATCTCCTATTTTATATTAAAGAAACCCACAACCAACATTTGATAATTCTGGCAATAAACATCACTTGTTGATGAGGCTGCCTCTTTGAGTCACCATTGATCTTTGGTCCATGAGAGCTTTCCCACCCCTGTCTGTTCCTGGGGTTTTCTAAAGCTGATACTCCATGATATGTAGCTGGGCTTGGGTTCTCTTTCCTCTCATACCTGTTCCAAAAAGTTGTTTAAGATAACTAATAGTATGAGCTTGCTTAGGCATGTCCCCTGGTTACCATCTAGAGATAGTACTCTAGAGAGTTGAAGCCCAGAACACCTCACACTTTGTGTCTATTTCTTCTCCTCCAACATTTTTGTTCAGTTGTATCAAAATATCAAAGCCAATCTGAAGGGGAAAAGATGTTACATACTGGTTTCATCCCTGTTCATGGGAAGTTGAAGAGATCACTGCATTTCATTTGTTCTTTCTTCCAGTCTAATCCCATATGGAGACCAACTCTGTACCAAACCTTGAACTTGAGTAACCCAGAGCCTAATGGGAATACAACCTGGAGAGCTTATAAATCATACAGATGGATACTAAACTCTTTTTCTTTAGAATCACTTATATAACTAGAGAACTACCCTCTGTATTAGCTCCCTATTTCCTACCCCCTATATCTACCTTAATTCTCTTATTTCATTGTATCTTAGAGATGGCATTAACTGATGGAGTAAAAGTGGGCATATTGGCTCTGTGTGTGTGTGTGTGTGTGTGAATATATAAGCAAGAGAGAAGTGCTCTGAGTGAATGGTTCATTTTAAAGAAAGTAAAGCTTATTCTTTACCACAGAGCTACGCTTCTAGATTCTGCTCCATTTAATACCTTTAGATTCCAGCCAAACTTATAAGACCCACTTCTTAGCCTTTCTTCTGTTGCCTGAGAAATTAACATGTGCTAACTGCTGTCTGTTGTTTGGTAGGCATCTCTCATTCAGGACGTATCTCTACTAGTGTAATGAACAAAAAACATTTCCAATGGCTGCACATAGGCTACTATTAGGATGTGTTGGTAGCCATCTTGCCTTCCCTGATGTCTGACAGGGTTTTTTTTCCTCAAGGCAACAAATCTGTGTTCTGTTTTTACTTCTCCCTCTATGAAGGTCACAGTACCTACTGAGTGCAAACTCTTACCTTGAGAGGTAATAGTTCTGGGTGCTTCTTTGTCTTTTCAATTTTATAGGCTTGGGATCCTGGAAAAGTTCCCCCTCAAGTCATACCAAATTTGGTATGATGTTCCTGGACTTTAAAATCCTTTAGGATTTTAGCTGCCAGTTTATCTAATTGAGTTTATGCGATTCACTGTCCAAGTCCAAGTCACAGCTCTGTGATGAAACAAGAAACTAATTTTTCCCCAAGACTCAGATACCACAGATCTGACTGAAAGGTTCACAGCAAGGTCAAGTTCCAATCCTGTCACATGTTGATCAACTCAGCCTGGAATTGCAAAGCAGGAAATTTTAGGTGCAAAGAGGTATTGGCACAGTGCCTAACTCATACTAGCTCTTTGGCAGATATTTGTTAATTGATTAATGCAGCCTTAACACCAGATGTCATCTTTTAAGAGTCTCATTTTCCTTTAGATAGATATTGATGAATACATGTTTGACACACAAAAAAATCATCAATTACAGAGTAACATCTAAGATTTGAAAAATAAGATTTGAATCCTTCCTCCCAGACTGGCTGCATAATTTGTGGTGCCCTGTACAAAATGAAAATGCGGGAATCCTTGTTCAAAAATTATTAAGAATTTCAGAATGGCAACTATAGAGCATTAAACCAATTATCAGGCTCCTTCAAAGTACAAACTGAACAGCTATGAAGCCAGTCCTAACTGCCCCCCCTCATTTGATTAACATGTATGAGTCCCTGTCTTTGTCATAGCTATCATCTTATATCTTTCTCACAGGAACTACAATGTATTAAATCTCTCTGAGAGATTTCTTTACTTGCCCAAGATCATACATGAAAGGCTGCATACAATGCCAGTTTTTTCCTACTAGATAGAATGTGTGTCAATTCTGAGCATTGTATTTTCACATAGGTTGTTTTGTACACTTTTTCCTCATCCAATTATATAAACAATAATCATTATCATGAATTGAGAACTTACAATGTGTCAGGCAATGCTCTAGTCACTTTATATGGATTCACTCTTATAATGCCAAGCAACGCATTTATGCTGCTTTGGTCAGGATTGGCAGAAAACAAAAAGCCCAACTCAAAGGAGTAACTGCAGACATTTTAATGAAGGAATTGGTTTCAGAGATGTGGATAGGGCTGAGGATCTTCAAGGAATATGGAAACATCTGGAACTAACAAGAGCAGGAATCTGTTAGCACCCCAAGCTGGAAGGAGCAAGGGGAGAGGACAAAGTCACCAGAATGGGATGGCACCTTTAGCCATGGCACACAACCTACGTGTTAGGTGCTGTGGCCGCGGTCGAGGAAGATAGCCACTGCCCCAAACCTAGTAAGGAGGGAGGGAGTGGTGGATGGAAGCTCCACCCCCTTTCCTGTTGCCCTTGGATCTGCCCAAACCAAGAGAGCCCAGGGGCTGGTGTCTGCAGAGCTCAGCCTTCTGGACACAGAACAAGGTATAGCAAAGGCGACTGAAAGTAAGTAACTTGCTCCAAATCATACAAGTAATAAATAGCAAAGCCAGGATTCAGACTTGGGAGTTCTCAGTGAAGCAACGGAGCACTTGAATTATGTTCTAAAGTGTGTCCTCAAATGGCACAGAAGCCTTGGGTGTGGTGATAAACTGTCTGCTACCAAACTTGCTGGTTTGGAATATTGAAATCAGGGAAAGCCAGGCTGAAAAACTAAACTGAATTTTAATTTTATAAATGTGTGCTGTCAGATTACCTTCAAGGTGAAGAATAATGAACACTAGGATTGCGAAGCACTGGGAGAAGGCTCAGTGTTAAGAACGGATAGGAGAGGTTTGCAGGTAGCTGCATTAATTTTGAAGGAAATGAATAATTCTGAAACAGTGTCGAAAACACTTGAAAAGTTTGACTTCTTAAATAGGGTACATATTCTTCCCAAATTTATATTCTTTGTAGCTTGTTTAGATCATGCATTCGTTCAATGGCTATGTGCCGAGAGCCTCCTTTGTGTCCGGCAACCTAGGTGCTAGGATACAGCTATGGGCACAACAGATGAAATCTCGCTCTTGAGGCACTTAAACTCTGGTGACAGGAGACAGACAATAAGCCTATAATGAATAAACACACAATAGTGCTATGAGGAAAAATCACATAGAGTAAGAGGACAGAGAGTGACAGGGAGGGAGAAAGATGCTATGTAATATAGAATTATCAAGAGAGCTCTCTCTGACAAGGAGACATTTGAACAGAGAACTGAAAGAAACCTCTGTTTCGTTGTTGGGGCAATAGCGAACGTTAGCCCAGTTACGTTGAAGAGAATTTTAGGCCTGGAAGCCACCACAGAGATGCTCGTATTCTGTACATGAAGAAACCGAGGCCCAGGGGTTAAGCTAACTGAGACACAGAGCCGTAGTGTGAATAATTATCAGTGAAGCTTGGGCTGCAAATCACATATTGAAACTCTTAGGCTGTCATTCAACAAGTATTCTTGGGCCCCCATTATGCACCAGGCACCTAGTCTCGTGCTTTTTGCGCTGCATCTATTGTCTACTGATTCAGAAGTAATTTCAAGTTAATGAGATTTTACTGTCATTTAAGTTTCAGCTACCTTGAGGTGTGGTTAACTTTATGTGGGATGTCCCAATGCCCTGGAAAACAAATGAAGCCCTAGCAGTTGTGGCTGCCCCAGTGTGACTTACAAACTGTACCTTACCCCTTTTATTCCCCAATTGAATTATTATTATTTTTGTGTAACTTGAAAATGAGACTTCGGTGGTTCAAGTGGTTTGGTTCCGAATCATACTCCCTCCTTCATATCTTTGATCTATATTAATAAAAAGTCCATAACAGGGGAGTTATTGTCCTAATGTGGGAGGCTGGGCAAAGGGAGAAGAATTCAGGCAGGAAGACAGCCAGGACATCCAAGCTCAGATCAGAGGGTAAACTTGGAGCCTCAAGGGAGAAGCAGTGTCAGAATGTGACACAAGATGTTCCCAGGGTGTTACACCAACCCCAGGATACATACGTAGGAACAGCGTCGGTTGCCAGAGGGAGGGGATGGAGACCTGGACAGTGCCCAGGGGTCGGAGCTAAAGGTGAGAAGGAAGGCAAAAGGTTAGCCAGACCAGGTGTCAGGGACCAGAGTGATTCTTACAGATGCTGTGTTCAAAAGCCCAAGTCCCACCTCTTGCAGGGTTGACAATTATTTTCAATACAAACTCATTTTAAACAGAATTTTTAACTTAAAAAACCCTTCATACACCACACTATCTTATCTAATCAGGAAGGTAATGGATGAAGGTATTTTATCCATATTTTATGGATGGAGAATTGAGGTCCAGAGGTTGAGAAAAAGACCCAATGTCTGATGATGAGTTGATGGCAGAGTAGGAATGAAAACTCAGGTCTTCCAACCTCCATCTCTCATACAGTTTTAACCCAGACCATATAGCGTGTGATGGGAAGATGGAAAGGAGCTATCGGTGGCAAGACTAGGAAATTTACATCAAGGTTGTGGGACTTGTCCCACAGTGGAAATTTATACATCTTGACAAATGGTTATTTGCTCCTGTAATTTCCCCCTCTTGTCTCTTAGGAAGGGGCTGTGCCACAGGAGTTGTGGCTTTCAGTGGAGGACACTGCCACTGCCACCGCTCAGCCCTGATGTTGTTATTCCCATTACTGGATGTTGGTGCCTCCTGCAGGAGCCCCAGTGGCTGAACCTAACTGGAATCCAAAGGGCAAGGGAGCCAGGCTGAGGGCAGCCCCCAAAGCCAGCCCCCAAGTACAGAGCAGAGAGCAGAAGGGCAGAGAAGGGACCTGGAGGGGTAGACACAGACCATTCAGCTTAATGTTAATAGCTACCTCAGAGGGTTGTTGTGAGGATTAAATAAGTTACTATATATAAATTCTTAGAGCAAAGCAGGCACAAAGTAAGCACTATATAATCCAGGGCTATTGTGATATCCCTCATATTTCTCTGTGACATTCAGTATCCAGGTCGTTGCAGGCTTGATGGAGACATTCCTCATGTGTCCACTGCCAGCCTCGCTCCTGCTGCCTGGAGAATCTCTCTGCCAAGGCCAAGTGTCTGCTTCTCATCGCTGGGGCTCGCTCTTGCCTGACAATATCGACCTCTATAACTGGCCCTGCATTATCTCTGAGGCAAGGAGCTTTAGAGTTGGGCTCAGGGAATGGGCCTCTGGTATGTGATCTCATCTGGACAGCCTTTCCTTCTCACCTTATAAAGTAAACATGCTCCAGACAGTTAACACAAGTCTGGGCTGAGCAGATGGTAAGGCTGCACTTACTTCCTCTCTCCCTAGGAATTGAGGGTCAAGGGCCTCCCACAGTGAGTCCCACTCACTTCCAGCATTGAATCTTGCCACCTACCTCTTCCTGCGTTTGGTAATAATAGGAATTGCTACCATCTGTTGGGCATCTAATTATGGGCCAACAGTATGTAAGAAGCTTTACATATTTTTATGACATTTAATATGTATAACAACCCTGCCAAGTATAAGTGTTCCCATTTTACAAGTGAGGAAACTGAGACTGGGAGGTTTCGCCTACACGGCGAGGAGATGGAAGCACTGAAATTAGTCTGCCTGACTCCTAAGGGTTTCCTACCACATAATGATGTCAAGGGATTCAAGTTGAATCATGCATTCTCGTCTAAACTTTTTCTACAGTCACAAAGACATGTAAGCAGGAGAAAGGGACTTTTGGTCCTTGAAAAGTTTATCATGTTGGTGGAAGACAGAATTCACAGAAATGGAGCAGTTTGAAAATGACCCATAAGTGTGTCGAATCAGGTGCTAAACTGGGCACCATGAACTCTGTATGTTGTGTGTGTGTGTGTGGGGGGCTGGAGAAAGGGGTGCGTATGGAGAGAAGCAATCAAGAAGCTAGGCTGTGATGAGGAGGTGCTCTGCAGTGATAGGACAAGAATGCCCGTGGAGGGGAGCATCAACAGAGAAAGAGAAGGAAGACAGAAAGGTGCCCAGCCGGTGGCAGAGGAAACGGAGAGGAGGAAGGACCAAGGAGCAGCAGATAATGAGGGGGCTGAGAGAGACTAAGGAAATCCTGGAGAGTTCGGAAGAGGAATTTAGCCTCAACATGGAAACAAAGGGAACTCACAGTAGTTGTGGAGGGGCAGTGGTGGGTTAGAAAGGCTTAGATTTCAGGAGTACAGGAAGGGACTGAGGAGAGAGCCCTGAGAGAGGGAAAGCTGGAGCCACCCTTTAAAAGAACTGGGCGGGCTTAGTGAGTAAAATAGTCATAGCAGATGAGTCAAGGATGAATCCAACTGTTTCCATCAATGCTCAATAAAGGGGACAGGAACAGATAGGGAGAAGAGTCATCTGTAAAGCCAGTTCATTGAAACAACTTGAATGGAGGCTTTTCCAAAAGGAAGTGAAAACTGCCCCTCTGATGAGAGAAGCAAAATTTACAATTTTTTCTTTCTTTTTTCTGCTGGGGAGGGGTATATCTAGTTTTACAAATATATCCCCATTCTGATAGCTTAGAGGAATCTTTGAATAGATGTCTCTCAACTTCGGGGTCCCTTCTGTCTGTCCTGAGCTATGTGTGACTTCAAGGTGGGGGGTGCTCAGAAGTCTGGGGATAGGCAAAAGGAGGGTCCCTAACCCTCTTCTCAGTGGGAGAGGTATGTCAAAATGTTCTTGCTGATCCAAAGGAGAAATCTAAGCAAGTCCAATTAGTTGTATTATACGTCAAATCTCGAGGAACTCAAAATATGTCCTTATTAATCAATCAGTCAAAAAGTATTTATTCATTGTGCAAAATTCCTGATCTCCTTTGACTCTGAAAACATTTTATACTTGTAACTTTTCTTAGCTCCTGTTCATTAAAATACACACTTCCATTTTTGTTACAATGTCCAATAAATTATTTCCAATAAACTGTTGGCACCAGTAAATTGTGAACTCCATAATATTTCTGTGAAGATCTTGTATTTTTTAGTTGCCTCCCTGGAAAATAAAATAAAATAAACTTTGCTTCAAAAAAATGAAACTGGACCACCTCCTTACGCCATATACAAGAACAAATTCAAAATGGATTAAAGACTTAAATGTAAGACCTGAAACCATAAAACTCCTAGAAGAAAATATAGGGAGTAAATTTGCAGATATTACCCTGAACAATCTTTTTACTGATACATCCTCATGGGCAAGGGAAGTAAAAGAAAAAATGAACATATGGGATTACAACAAACTTAAAATTTTTTTCACAACAAAGGAAACCATCAATAAAACAAAAAGGAAGCCGACTGAATGGGAGATAATATTTATCAATGATATATCTGATAAGAGGTTAATATCCCAAATTTATAAAACACTCATTCAACACCAAAAAAAGCAAACAACCCAATTAAAAAATGGGCAGAGGATATGAAGAGACATTTTTTTCTAAAGAGGACATACAGATGGCCAACAGGTATATGAAAAAATGTTCAACCTCACTAAGCATTAGAAAAATGCAAA